CGCCATAGAATTTACTCTTTTCCTTAAATACTATACCCGGGCAAAACATCCATGTGGAGGTGTTTGACAGGCACACTCTCTGTACTGGGTCAAGAATTGCAACTCTTTAATATGATTAGGCATACCGACAGAGATATTTCAAATGACAATGATTAAATCAATTGCAAACTTTCATAGGATCTTTTCCACTGAATTGAGTGGAGAGGAGAATGGTGAGAGGAAAAGTGGGGGAGAATGATCAAATGTGAATAAAGGATTGGAGGTTTAAAAACCTTTCCCCCAATGTCTCTCTGTGGGGTGGCAAATGTCTGTGCATAAATATACTGTGTTTGTAAATTGTCCATTTGTGGAAGCATCTGAGTTTCTGTTGTCTTTGATTATTCATAAAATTTAAGTCAACGTTGGTGTCACTTTGCAAGTCAAACATGCAGATATGGACCAATATGTTCATTTAAATTTAGTAATTTAGCATATGCTTTTGTCCAAAGTGACATACAAATCAGGGGGCATTCAGTGATTAGACAAACACCTAAAAAGTGCTGATTATTACAAAGGAACTGTTAGTGCTCCGAGAATTAAGAGCTAGAGCAGGGGTGTCAAACTCAATTCCTGGAGGACCACAACCCTGCAGAGTTTAGTTCCAGCCCTGATTTAACACATCTGTATCAACTAAGACTTTAGAATACCCAAGACATGTCACTTGTTTTAAATGGGAAAAAATTATAACGGTCAATATGGCGAATAAAACCCACCTTCTAGTACAGGAGCCAATCATTGATCGCTATAGACTGATGATTCTCCGAGGGAGGGGCTCGGACCAGATGTGAATTTCTGCAGATTTTGAGTAACTCAAACGTTTAGAAATTAAACTAAAGAGACAGTTGTTGTTGAATCTTATTGTTGTTTCCTAATATGAAGTTTAATCGTAAGCTTGGCAAGCAATTTCACAAAATTTGATGTTTCCCTATTCAAACAGAATGCCTGAGCATACTGTCTGCGTCTCTGAGACGTGTTTCAAAGATGGCCCCCGAGTAAAATGACTTGGCTTAAAGGGACTATGGTATCAAACAAGCCCAAAGCACTCAATAAGTTTAATCAGGTGTGTTTAATTAGGTTTGGAACGAAACTGTGCAGAGCTGTGGCCCTACAGAAATTGAGTTTGACACCTATGAGCTAGAGTACGAAGGGGGCAGTGTTTTTTATTTTTATTTTACTTTAATATATTCAGTGGTAGGCAATAATTTTGTGTTGCTTCTATCTGCTGTTAGTGTAATCACTTGTTGACATGAGTCTTAATTGAAAATTGACACATTAACAAACTTTTTAGCTTTAATTTTTTTAAATGGAGGCCATTGGTTACCATAGTATTTAGTTTCCTACTATGGATGTCAACGATTTGTGTTCAGCAGGAAAAAAGAACTCATGAATATTAGGGGGTGAGTAAATGATGAGTAACATTGAAAGTGAACTGTCTCTTTAGGCCTGAAATATAGGTGTTTTCAGGTGTTTTGCACTAACTGTCCACAAGGTGTCAACACTGAACTGGGCTGTTATTACTAAGTCAAAGAAAGCAAAGGAGGAGAAGAAACAAGAAAACAACAGACTAGCGAAGACAGCAAAACAAATAGATGCCTATATAAATACATTTGAGGGAATTAAAGACTTCTACAACTTTTTTAATGAATTTAAAGGCACAGAACAAACAGAAGACAAAGGATGAATCTTTGAAGAGTACAAGATACTTAGAAAAGCTTTGTTTACTTACGCTTACAAATCATCACCTTGGAATTATAAGGTTCTGCGTTCTGAATGATTTTGAGATATTGAGCTTTAAAGGTTTTGTATTTCATAAAGCAAACAGTGTGTGTGTGTGTGTGTGTGTGTGTGTGTGTGTGTGTGTGTGAGAGTGAGTGTAACATTTGTTTTTTAAATAAAAAGTCTTAAAACAACTTATAAAAAAACATCCCATAAGAAAATAGGTTAATATGTCAATAACTAAAATTTTAACAAATATGCTATAATGATATAAATGATATAACCTTATAATTCCAAGGTGATGAAATACTTTGGCCTTAAGCGTTTTACCAAAGAAAGAATATCAGCTACATTTTGAATGGTTGAAGGGTGAGTATCAATGGCACATTTTAGGTGAACTAACTGCAATAACTATAATTGAGTAAGTCACTATCTAATGTTTTTTCAAACTCTTCTGATATCGGAGAAAAAAAATGGCTAACTCACATGCTGGTGAATGCATATTGATCCTAATGCAGGTATCCTGAAGACTGGAGCACTCTCTCACCTCCAGCTCATCGCAGGTGGGATTCATTTTGTCTATCTTCTTGCAGAAGTTGCATATTAGTGCCTGTGCAACTAATGAGATATTTTATATGTTATTTTGAGGGAAATTCATTATAGTACACATGAGCTATAACAAAACAGGCTATTCTCATCTTCTCTGTATATACTGGATTTTTATTTTAATAAGGTTGCTTTTTTTAAATATTGAAAATGACATTTGGTCAAAATAACAGTTACATTTGTTGTGATTGAAACATTGTCCCCAAAAGATGTCAAATAACTTTTCTGAAGTCAAAAGATTTGTATGATGTTTTGTGTATTGTGAAAATAAACATCTATAGATACATATTTTATGTTATTTTGAGGAAGCTTATGCTCTAAATCAGTGATGCCCAAATATGGGCCAACGAGCCAAAGTTGCCCCTTTGCATCCTTTAATTTGGCCTGCCAGAGGGAAATATGGTTGGGAAATGCATTTAACCAGCCTGAACTCACGAGAAAACGTAAGTATTTTACATTTTGGCAGTTTAGTGGCTAATTCTTATGAATTTTTACAAGTTCAGTTCTATAAAAATGTATAATTTTAAAAAGGAGGCATGGGACCCAACCCCACCACGAACCCCAACCGTCATTTGGTGATGAGCAAATCATACTAAATAGTACGAATTAAATCATTCGAATTCATACGAATTAGCCACTAAATCAAAAAAGTTACGAATTGCCGTGAGATGTCGTTGGTTTAACAGAGATTCCCATTTAAAGTTTTAAGAAAATTGTCTAAAATTGAATTCAATAAGTAATTTTTTAACTATTCATTTTAAATGTTATGAAATAAATTAGGAAATTACCCATGGCAACTTTAATGTAATACAGTTTGCTACATTTCGTCACCCTAGAATTATAACGTTCTATCTGACATTTTTGTCAAAATTGAGTTATTGACATTATTATTAAATGACAACTTATTTACATTATGGGATGTTTTTTTTTTATAAGTTTTTTACATTTTAAGACTTTTTATTTAAAAAACAAATGTTACACTCATAATGTTTGCTATGGAATGCAAAAGCTTTGAAGCTCAATATCTCAATATCATTTAGAACGCAGATAACCTTATAATTCCAAGATGACGATTTACTTTCGGCCCACAGCTCTCAATCTAGCTTGAATTTCGGCCCTCCATAAGAAAAAGTTTGAGCACCCATGCTCTAAATGAAAACAGTTGGGTTTTTAATTTAGAAAAAATGTCATCAGTGGTAAAACAATAATTATGTTTTACTCAAATACTAAACTATACATTGAAATTTTCAGAGAAACAGAGACTTATTTAATGATATATTCCATTCACATACATCTGAAGTGTCCTACCGTTTTAATGTTTTTTAATTCAGCTCTGAAAAAACAGACAACATGAGATATGGTGTCTTAAAATTTCAAACCAGAAGATTATAATTTACAGCATTCATTTGCAGAATATAATGCCCAGCAAAGTTTTTCAGAGCTGAATTTAAAAAAAACATTAAAATGTTAGGACATATGTCAATATTACTTTCTATAAGAAGCTATGAATAAAAATATACATTTTTCAAAACGGGTATCAACTCTGAAAACTGGACTGACAGTTTCAATTTACTAGAACTTCTATGTTAAGCTGCTTTGACACATTTCTACATTGTAAAATCATTATAGAAAAAAGATAAATTGAAATGAGTTTATTTATTTATACCATGTGCTGTATATCTTATATATATATAGATATATATATATAGATATATATATATATTATTAATTTGACATGGTCTACACATTTTCCCAGAGGTCTATTACTTAAAAAAGATTAACTTGTTTACTGTTTTGTATTAAAGAGAAAGTCTTTGAACAACAAAGTTAAAACTGTTTCCCACTCACCACAGAGGGCACCTAAAAACACGACCAGAACCAGTGTGCGGGATCCCATCTTTCAACTTTTTCAAACTGACAGAAGTTAATTAGAGATACAATATGAAAAAAAAGTTCAGATTTATTTACACATGAAGATTAACAAAACTAAAACAGTCTAAGATTAAATCAGTCTTACCTTCTTTGTCTGTAGTGTTTCCCTTGAATTAATCAGTTAATATATGACACTTGTTATATATGACACCTGATAACAAGTGTCCTCCTCCCTGTCCTAACAAAAAAAAAAAAAATGCTGTGCGTGTGTGTGTGTTTGTGTGTATTAAATGTTGTATGTACCACATAGTTTTAGATAAAAAATAAATAAATACAGCCTTTTTTGCGTTAAAATAAACTTTTTTAATGTAATGTTTTTTTTTACAGTAGTTTTACCTATATGGATACTTGCACAGTTTACTAAAGTTTAAGTATAGTTGTAGTTTAACTTAAATTTAAGGGCCAATTTATAATACTTCTTTTCATCATCTTAACTAACAAAAAACAACACCAGAACATTAAGGACATTTTAAAAATTTAATATTTAAGAAAAGACATGTTTATGAGAACAGTATCTCTCACATCACCACATTATTGAGGTCATTTCCTTTTGTGTGCTCAACAATAGTGAAATATTACACTGTCCCACCCAAATGTTCCCAGTCTTTTCTGACCCAGTGGCTAACATGAACAAATGAGAAAACTCTCAATCACATGCATGTTACAAAACTCAATAAGTAAAGTATATATCATTTAAAAACGGCATGAACGGGTTGAACTGATTTTACTCAAGTAAAAGCCTGAATTACAAGGAAAGATTAAGAAAAATCCACATTAACCAATCAAATACTTTACAGAAAAAAATCCTCATTAAAAACACAACAAAAAATAAACAAAGACCAAATTTGAGAAAGACTGAACATTAATACTTGACTTTTCCTCCTCATAGATCCTGCTCTTCTTAGAGTAAGATGTTTCTGTAATCCACCGAACCTCCTTTATACAGAGACATCGAAAGGATCATACCACATATCTGCAAAAAATGTGTAAATATATATTAATAAAAATGAATAGTTCAACCATTCAGTTACCATTAATCATATAATATCTAACTCTGGGAATGCACACAATTAATGATTCACTATAGGGGACCAAGCGAATGGATGAATCTTCACACCACACACTAAGCTATACTACAACTACACAAACATCATATACCTTGCCAGTATTCCACAGTGAAATCTCTGTGAGGGAAGATACAGTTTGAAATAACCAATGAGATCTTTGTTTAAACATATTCCTCACAGCTCAGAGCTCGCAAATCAAACAATACAGTCACAGTCAGAAAAAAACATGCAGTAGGGCCAATAGAGGAAAAATGTATGGCAATAACACTGTAAATCCAGTCTGCTACTGTTTTTCCTCATCAAATAGTATCATGCATTAACATGACCCATTACCCAGCACTCTTTGAATACTGAATTACAACATCTATAGGAACATTTTTGTCAGTTCTTCTGTCAGGTAACTCTGTCTAGAAATTTACAGCTAAATTTAAAAAACAAATTTTTTTTTTAAATTTAATAAAATAAAAAATTTAAGCAGTAGGAATACGGTTTTAAAAAAAGCAAAAAAAAAAAAAAGGTAGCTTTTCGAGCTTAGATGTTCTTCATTTATATTTTAGCTGTGACATCGTAATTTCCAAAGGAATCCACATTATTGGAATTTCACTATAAAAATATCTGTTAATTGTCTGATTTCTGTTTATTTATGGATGTGAATTGCGTTATGGAACCTCGATCTCTGCTCTGTCGAGTTTTGATGTTGAAAATTAAGTTTACTCAATTGACCATGTATTGATATTTTAGTAGTTTGAAATAATATAATGGATAAGAAATAATATATAGGGAAATAGGTCTGTAAAACAACAGAAAATGTACAAGGCATTTGTACCATAATATACAACACCAACACAGACAGTATATCACTGTAAACTATAAAAATGTCAACAAAAGTATTTGCTTACATTTTTTTAAAGTTAAAAAGTTATTGAAAGAAAAATCATGGTCCCATAATATTATTCAAAAGCATAAAAAATAAAAACATGAATTACAAAATATGCAAAACTAGGATTTTTCGAGATGAAATACAACAGGGGGACCAGAGGTTTCTGTTTTACAGCAAATTCAAAGCAAAAAATAAAAATAATAATCAATGTAACAGTTAGGTTATATCGCATTATTCTTTTTGAATCAGTGTTTAATACAGTTAGAGTTTGCCCACCATCAATTTGAAAGGTCCTGTGAAGTGCTTTGAAATGTGCATTTTTTCATTTGATGTTTGACGTAATCTCAACTGAACCACAAAGAGAGGGAGGGACATATACACTGTAAAAAATACTGGTTGCCTAAATTTCTAAGCTGAATCAAATTAACCTTATGAGTCCATTGAACTTATATTATGTTAAACTGATTTAAAACAGCTTGCGTGACTTATAAAATGAAGTTATAACATGATTGACTTAGTTTAATGAGTTAAAATGAACTAAAAACATGCTGTCAGGACTAATTAATCATATTATTTTTACAGTGTTGTAGCTCCTCCCCTTTAAAAAAGCAGCCAATAGCATTTCGTTTTACCACCGCTCTGCCAGTGAGGGTGGTTGAGGTCAAGCGCATCAAATGAAAAGCAAATGAGACGCGTCTTGAAGGGGTTAGGGCATGTCAAAAACTAAAGAGCATTTGTTTGGTCAAGATTTGATGAGAAACTGAATTATGAAAAACAACGTTGATACTTGTACGCGGAAGTGATAAACTACAAGCTTTACATGTTTATATCGCGTTTTGTCTAAACACGAATTTTGTCATTGTTTTGTAGCACTTTACACTGAAAACTCTAATAAGTTAACTTAACCAAATAATTGAGTAAACTCGTTGCCTTAATTTAATTGAGTAACGGAGTCTCACAAATTTTGCATATTTAAGTTTATTTAACTTGCCGGTTTGGTAGATTATACTTTGATTGTTCAGTTCAGTGTGTGTGTCTGTGTGTGTAATTATATACTATGAAAAAATTTTTTTTAAAGAAAAATAAGTAGCCATTTATTCCCATTATGGTGAATAATTATATATAAAGCCTTGTTTTTTTTTTTATTAAAAAAAGACATTGCATAAAAGTTTGCACATAGTAGAATTTTACAGTCAAGACTACATTAAAAAATGACCTATTTTAAGGATTAATTGTGATTTTGAGCTACTTGAAATCTTTAGTTTATGCATTTTCATTGCATATAAGTTAAATTAACTCATATTTTTAGTTGACCTTAGTATTTTTGTGACCTTACAGTAGCTCTGTTTACTGTTAGAATCTCTCATCACTTGAATTAAGATAATATTTTTTTTATTTTAAAGTACAGCCATCACAAAACCAGACCTTATAACAAAAAAACTGTTGTTACAAAATCTAAATTTTTGTTAGTTGTGCAGGGTGTTTTTTGTGGCATTTGCAATAAAATTACATTTAAGCTATTTGACTATTTTAATTTTTAAATCGAAGCAACTTAAATCCAAGTCAATCACATCTTAATGATGAATAAAACTGTCAATAAAACATATAAGGCAGAATTGTTCAGTTCAATTATTTACTGTAAATAATTTGCTGTACCAAACAGAAACAAATTATAGTATATAAAGCGAAAACAAAGAATCCTCAAACTGGAAAACCAATCAAAAGCATCAGAATAGCAGCTCTTTCATAAATGGCCTTAACAAAAGACATTGTGACGTGCATTTCAAAAACAGGCAAAGCAACATTCATACATTCATTCATTTTCTTGTCAGCTTAGTCCCTTTATTAATCCGAGGTCACCACAGCGGAATGAACCGCCAACTTATCCAGCAAGTTTTTACAGAGCGGATGCCCTTCCAGCCACAACACATCTCTGGGAAACATCCACACACACACATTCACACACACTATGGACAATTTAGCCTACCCAATTAACCTGTACCACAAACCGGAGCACCCGGGGGAAACCCACACAAAGGCAGGGAGAACATGCAAACTCCACACAGAAACGCCAACTGAGCCTAGGCTCGAACCAGCGACCCAGTGACCTTCTTGCTGTGAGGCGACAGCACTACCTACTGCGCCACTGCCTTGCCCAGGCAAAGCAACAGATTAATATTATTCAACATATTTGGATGTTACCCCATTTGTAAACTTTAACATTTTCTTAAGAAACTGTAATTTAATTACACTTTTTTTTTCTCAGTAACTGTAACTAATTACTATTACTTTTTTTTTGTAATTACAACGCCGTTACATATATCTAGTTACTCCCCAACACTGCTGACACCTAAAAACGTTATTTTAATTTCCCTGGACTTTTAAATAATAATAATGGAACACATTACAAAAGAGTCACTAAAATTGCATGTTAAAATTATAGATAAAAGCTAATTGTATAATCACAATCATATTTTGACCACTGAAGTAAAGGTTTCCATTTCAGTGCTCACCTACTGGTAAAAATCTCCAGAGCAATGTTTCATGTGCACATATTTATCTTTCGGTGAGTATTGGTGTAATTAGTTAAGCATAGTGTTATTTTATTAAAAAACATAAACACCTCAAAGCTTGAATACAGTTTGTCACATTCAGAAAACAATTAAACTTTAAGTTTGTTGGTGTGCGATCCTCAGTTTAGAATTTATTTTTTTCTTTTTGTGACCATTTACAAAGTCTAAAATTACCAAACCTTCCAAGCCTGTATTCCAGCCTTCAAGGGTGATAGAAAGGCTGACAATTTATTATCTCGGCATGCAATAATGAAACACTCTAGTCACAAACAGAAACACCACACTAGTCACAAACAGAAACCTGGAGAGCTGAACGTGGCTGCCATGGGATTCTCTAGGGCAGCAGCGGTGGGTTCGATTAAAGCAACAGTAAGATATGACACATGTCCACTGAAGACACTACGAGAAATATGACCACACATGATATACTATAGATAAAACCTTAATTTTTTTATTGTAATTTGTTTATTTCAAATGGACAGTCAAAGGGTGAACTTTTACACATTTTTTGTTCTAGGTTTGGTCACAGCTTGCTTACCTCCACCACAGAAATGGCCAAAATAACCCATAAAATGAAATGAAGATTAGATCCCAGCCAGTTCTCTACTTTGTCCTTGCAACCCTTTTAAAAAATAGAAATAAAAGACTTTTAAAAATGAGTTAAAAATGTCAGTCAGGAAAATGATTACAGATTATGACTGAAACTGTACCTCATCATAAATCTTGCAGGATAATACTGGGGAAAAAAAATCTGGGGAACAATTGTCACATAATTCTTTGGTTTCATTTGCTTTATGATAGCAGGAACAGGGTATAGAGTCTCCCCAGTCTTCTTTTCCATTCCAACCACAGCATTCTTCCTGTAATGTCGGAGAATATATTTTAGTTCAAACACATCAATGTAGTTCAATGTTTTCAAGGCCTTATGATTTTATTTTTGATCGTGTAGTGTCACGTGTTTCCTCTCACCTGCCTCTGAATGTAATCCATGGTCTTTTTAAAACTGGAATCATTCCTACCAAATGACTGTATTAGATCCGTTTCTTTCCCCAGTGACTTTGACAGCTGATTAACAGCAGATGACAAAAAAAAAAACAAACAAACAATGAACAAGTTAAAGATATTGGCAACATTTTACAATATGTTTCCTTTACTTAATTTTATAACACGAACAAACAATGAGCAATACATTTGTGTTCATATATTAAGTATTAATTAATATTTTATTTTACATTATAGTTCTTTTTAACAGTGCGTTAACTGTGTTATTATATGGCTCTTAGAAATACTCGATTCTGATTGGTCAGTTGAAAGAGTTCGCTATTTCCAGATAACACCTCTAAAAAAACTCAGCCTAATCTGAAAGTTGCATAGACTTTTATTTCAGTATGTTAATGTACTTCTAACTCAAATTGGGCTGGGGCTTTTGTTTTACTCATTTCCATTGTAGCAAAATAACGTTATGTCAACTCCAAATGCAGAAGCAAATGGTAAGACATTGACAGCAAAGAAATTCGGTGTATTACCATTTTTGTCTATTGCTTGAACACTTTATACACATGCTTAGACCAAAGTAACAAAGCTTGAAACTTCTGTTCATTCATTTATTCATTTTCTTCCACCAAGTCCCTTTAATTATGATGGGTCGCCAAGGCGTAATTAACCACCAGTTTATACAGCATCCAATTTTACACAGCAGATGCCCTTCCAGCTGCAACCCAGTACTGGGAAACATCCATATACACACATTTTTCACACACATACTCTACTGCCAATTTATTTCATTCAATTCACCTGTACCGCATGTCTTTGGACTGCGAGGGGAAACCTGAACAACCGGAGGAAACCCACATGAACACGGGCAGACCATGCAAACTACACGGAGAAATGTCAACTGACACAGCCGGCACTCAAATCAGTGACTTTTTTGCTATAAGGTGACGGTGCTAACCACTGAGCCACTATGTCATCCTAAAGCCTTTGCTACTATACCTTAAATATGGTGTAAACCATACCTTAAACAAAAGCACTGCTTTGCACTTCAGTTGCAATTCTGCAACACACTCGTTCCTGCACACTAATTCAGTCATAAGGCACTTCATTCAAAGTCATTAGTACCAAGAAAACACATCTATTAAAATACAAACCACAATGGGGGATTGAAAACACTTATACACACACACACCTGAATAGAGCCTTTTCACATTTCCGGGTTTCTCAGTAGCGAAAGGCATCATAGTTAGGTAAACTTAGAGAGCAGTAAATCAGAGAGTACAACAAGTATTTTTTTTACAATCCTATTTGCTGAAATAATAAAAGAAAAACTGCACGATGGTGTTATCAAGACTTTCAATAAAAGGAAAAAATTGTGTGAGACGACAGCCACAGGGGGGATGTCAAAGTTACTCTCAGCACCATTGATGCTGCATTAGAAACGCATCGCACATGCTGTAATTAGTGTTTTGTAATTTGACGCAAAGATGATATAATAAATTCATAAATGCATGTAAATGTTCATGCGTTATTTTAAAAATGTAAATATTAAACACTTTCAAGGATTTAAGCTTATGATGACTGTTAAACATATCATAACCTGTGAAAAGGGTCCATATATTTACAAAACTGTTCACTAATCAACACAACACAACTAGGCCTCCTTTGAGATATTTCTAAACCCTATTGAATTTTTTTTCTGACGGCAGGATCCGTAATCCCACCATGCACATTTGTCTTATTGTTCTGTATCTACAGTAGTGTATTTTTGGTGTCATTTTTAACCTTTCAGTACTTTCATTTTTGGTGTCTGTGAAAACCTTTTGTGTGAAAAAAAAATTGTTGCATTGAGCTTCACAGAATGCTAACTGATGAACAGAGAAAATGAAAGACTGCAGTGCTTTCTATGAAGTACACAAGAGTATTTCTGCAAATATGACTGTATTCATAATATGTGAGTGTGTATAATTTTGTCATCACTGTGACATTAGAGGATTAGAGGATTGTTAGGTGTTATTGGCAGAGTTTCCGTTTGACATAGATGTCAATTTTTTTTCTGTGTTGTAGGACCGGGCTGATAAACGATATTATATCAAATCGCAATAGAATTTATGTCAATAACAATGATAAGCTCTGGACTTTTTTTTACTCTATATTTATCTAAAAGCCTATCACACAGCAGAAATGTGCAACAATGGGAGTCTAAAAGTGTGTTGATATTAGAGATGTACTGAATTTTTGGCCACCAAAAATTTTTCAGCCGAAAAAATAAGTTATGCCATTTAATACACCCCCTTATTTTTGTGTGTTCAGTCATAGTTGGGGTACTCTTTTAAATCTGGAAGTAATTACAACTTTTATTGAAATATATATCGATATTGTTCAATCTGGAGAATAATGATCATATTTGCCATATCGCCTAGCTCTACAGTGTTGTGTCTTGTGTGTCTGTGTTTAAGGTTGTGCAAACAACCTTTGTTTAGCAAAAAAAGTTCAAGCAATAGGCAAAAACTGTAACTTGCATGGATTTATTTTTCACCTCAATAATACCAACATGTTCTAGCAAAATAAACGTACATTTTAATTCCACACAGACTTTAACTACAATTAATAAAAGTGGTAGAAGCATTATTTAGTCTTAGTTTATGTTAGTAAAACTAACAGGACCTTGTTTAGTGTGGCCGAGTCATGAGTTTACTGTTTATTTCATAGACATTGTATTGAAATGGAATGAAAAGAATCCATCAAACAGCCTTTATTAATGAAGTCGTCATGCACGATGGATCTGTGTGTAAAAAAAGCTCAACAGCAGGCAGGGTGGGACTGCAGATCTGCATGCTTGACTTACCTCAGTCTTCATGGTGTAGAAAAGAACACCACCCACTATCTGAGCCGCGAGCAGAACCGTCAACAGGATGAAATACTGGAGATAAATGAAGATCATTTTAACACATGGTTACAGCTCAGCGGAGCAGACAAACTTACTGGTATATCACAAAACACCTGCACCAAGAACAAGCACGATTCCTGAGAAAATAATAGATTCTATAGTAGAATCTTTTTGGAAGATGTCCTATGAGGCCAGACAGAATCTACGGATATTTTTTGCAATTTCTGCAGAAAATTTTGTTAGAAAAGGTTTTTGGATTTATGTAGATTGATTTTGGGAGTATCATAACTAAAAATGTCATATATGTAATTAAAAATAATAACTTTGTAACTTTTATTTTAAGTTTACAATGCAAATCCCATTAGATCCACTTATTTAGTAAACAAAGCAAGTCTCTCATATAATATATCTACTAAAAGACAGAAAGTATTACTTTACAAACTGTATTGTGAATAAATCATATTTATGAACATTTTCGAAATTATTGAAATTAATTTAAAAACTGAATAAATATACATTGTTTATATAGTTAGATTCCATGTGGGTCAAATAATAACTAATATATATATATATATATATATATATATATATATATATATATATATATATATATATATATATATATATATATAGTTTATTTATAGTTTATATATATATATATATATATATATATATATATATATATATATATATATATATAAACAATAAATGTATAAACAATAAATATATAAATAAACTCAAGAGTGGTGGCCTTTTATAAATCCAGTATCATCTGGGTCAGACTTAGTCTTCTGCATTCCTCTGGATACTTTTCTTTATTTGTGTGTTACAATAATATTTATATTCATATAATTAGGGACTTTGGATGCATGAAAAGAGGTATTGATAGCCGTCAAGAGGTATAGGCTTATTTTATCATTCATAATCTTTAAAAGGTGTAATATTGTTAACAGAGTCACAAGCAGGCCTTGTCCACACCAATACATTTTTGTTTGAACGTGCTTCTTTAACAATTACTTTTGGACTTTCAGGCAACAATTTCATTAATCAAAACTTATGCTCAACAAACTCATGTGAGGAACTATAGAAAATGTATGATTTTTCAAACTTAATGAGCAAGTTAAGTTTATTGGAAATATAGTGCAGACATAATTGTTGAACAAAAATAAAATGTTCAATAATAGTGTAGTGTGGTAGTCTTGGAAGACATATTTCTGTTTACACCTGGATTTTTCATCCATTTTTATCCTATATCAGATATGTTTTCAGTTATTTCTGAAAACAGTCAATAGTCTAATTGTGATCAGGTTAACCAAACCCCATTTAGTTTTCAGGGGCTCATATGTTACTTTATGAAATTTTATTAGCCATTAAAAAACATTAGTAAAAGTTGTGAGCATAGGAAAAAAAACATTAAGGTCACGGCAAAAATATCAATGACATGTGAGTACCATCATGTTTTCTTTCTCTGAAAACTTACAATTGCCAGCAGGAATTTGACAGTCTTCAGAGAACCCAGACATCCAAAAAAGCCCAATGACATGGTCACAGAGCCACTGATGATCAGCAGGTAGGAAAGAAGAGAAATGGAGATATATGGACGAAATGGATCTATGAAAGCTTTAATAGTACAAAATATATCATTGTTAATAGAAAAAACAACAGAGTGTAATCTGTGAGCATCTATATACAGAAATAATTATAAAAACATACTTTTTATTTCGCTGGTATCTGATAAAAGCATCCATAGTCCAGAAGACAAGAGGAGGGATCCTAAGAGCTATTAAACATAAAAACAGATTGTTGGGGTACATTTTAAAAGAAAGTACAGTTTACATTCAAGGTTTTCTATTCTTGCTGTTTCTTTGTGATTATTTGTACAATTTAAAAGCAGTTGGGTGAAAGTTTTTACGCTTTTTTTAGTGCATGTAAATTGTTTAAAATATATAGTTTTTGGCCTTTTTGACATTCAAAGGCTAGGAGCCATTTGTTTTATCTTGTATTGACCTTATTCTTTGCCTACAAGTGGGTGCAGCCATTTGAACTGTCTTTGGCTCAAGACTTCCGGTCTCATTCGCTTCTTTTCATTTTTAGATGTTAGAGACACCTCGTTACACTGCTTGATGTTGCAAACTGATCTTTTCTTCTTTATATTATTATTCTTTTTAGTCATGGACACACTTGTTTGTGGAGCAAGTAGTTTGACCGTTTTCTGTCGTTTTTTATTCCTAGTCATTTTCCCATTGGCAATTAAATTGAAAGTTCTAAGATCTAAGATCTCCTCATTTTAGAATAAGGTCAACACTACTGTTTTGTTCTGTAAATTACGATCATTCCCAATTTTAAATAAAAATCTTTCCATATTAGTGCTGCATGATATTCTAAAAAATAACATTTCCTTCTTTTGTACATTTGTATTGCAAAATGACTACAATTTCACTTAAATATTTCTGTTTAGAATCATGTATAAAATAAACTAAACAAACTACAAGCACAGATAAATACAACAGAATAAACATAAAAAGTGAAATAAACAGTGCTGTATGGTTTCCTAGTGAGTTCAACAGTATCCAGGTACAGACATTCAACAATCAAGTGTAAAATAACACTGCATAGATTTCACTGTGAAAAAACAACAAAATAAATCTTACAAATGGTACATTTCCTGTGCCTGAATACTTTAAACTCTCTTGATATGTTTCCACAGCCACAGGTCTTAAAAACACATGCAAACGAAGAGTCCAGATGCAAACACCTCTAAAGGCCATCTACATTTTTCTTCTAAAATCAGCATTTTTATCCAGCACCAGTGTGTAGGTTCAGTAAACAAAGGAGGCTGAGAAAAAAATATTCATTTTTTGATGGAAATTGTAAACAGCTCTTAGAGGTTTTTGCATCTGAACTCCATAATGGTCAACCTCATGTTTTCTAAACTGCGGTTGCTGGTGAATTATTCCCATCATATAAACTCAACATTGCACATCAAGCTGAAAATGCCAACATCTGTATTTGAAATTTAGGGAAATGTTTTAATTGTTTTACCAATTAATAAAACAATATTAACATTGGTAACACTTCATGTTGATGGTCCATTTGAGTATTAGTAGACTGTCTGCTTAATATTTGGTGATACTGCTCCTTCAACAGACATTTAACTGGCTATAAGAAACTTAGCACATACATGTCAGCTTACACTAACCCCTAACCTAACAGTCTTCTTACAATCTAATGAGAATGAGTTGGCATGCAGATTCAATGTAACTTATATTAAACAAACGGACCATCAAAATAAAGTGTGACCCTAACATTTTACTGAAAACTGAATAAACTCATCTCATTGCTGTTAATTAAATGACAAAGGCTATGCACTTTTTTCCACTTTGAATCAATTAACCGTGACTCATTTGCAACTTACAAAGAAAACCAAGTTGAAGAGAAAGAGGAAGTATTTGGTGACACTGACACAGCATTCAGATGCCATATCTGCAAACAGACACACACACAAATACAAAAAAATAAACTGTAATCATCATCTAAGAAATTAACGTCTACAAAATTAAATGATATTAGCAAAATCAAGTCCAACAGTGATTCTCAAGAGGAGCAACAATCAATCTTACTACCCCCCCAAAAGAAAAAAATCTTTATAAAAACAAGTCTAATGTGTGTTTATTTAGATTTTTCATTTATTATATGTCATTTTCTGCCCAGTAAGACAGACTACCACAAAATACCCCCCCCTCCTCTTTTCAAGCAGAACAAATGGACAGGGTGCAGGAAGTGTCTTGTATTCTCATGTTTCCTTGCCTATGGTTACGGGAGCAAAGCTATCATTTTACACAGGCATGCCATGAACTATTCAAGCACTAGCACATGGGACAAAAGTGCTTTGTTTGTTGTTGTGAAAATTTGACAATATCTCCTTTTATAAAAACTACATCCCGTTTTACATAAAAAAAAGAAAAAAAATTTAACATGCAATTAAATCTCCGTTCAGGAAATATGGTCTCAGATAATTAAGGCTTTTACCTCTTCACAATAATATATACTGTCATTTCTCAAAACATTGTTATACAAGGCATTTACAGATGTCTTATTTAACGCTTTCTAATAATAATTGCTTTGCTGAAGAAAAAAAAGATGAAAAACTTACCTTAAACTGGGCAAAGTTGGCAAGATTACACAGCAGGCAAATGAAATGTGGCAGCCGCACATGAGATCATGTAAAACAGTTTTTTTTGCATGAAAAAAAAACGTAATTCTGATTGGCTTTATTGCTTGACTTCCTGCCTGTGTGCGAAGCATCATTGACTTTACTTCAGTAGAAAGCGGGCGTACATAGCACCCACCATAAATAAAATATCAGCCCTGGTTACACCTTTCACACCCGCATACTCTCCAACTCCCAATATGCAAATTATAATTTGACATTTTGTGATGTTTTCATATTTTTCAATGGTTTCAGAACATTTAATAGATTTGACTTTTAAAAACAATGCTAAAAAGTTTCATGTTTTCACAATTTGTGAGATTTTGAAAGCAAGATATTAGGATATCAATTTCTGAGAGGTTAAAAAAAGAACTGACCTGCTCTTAACAGAAGATGAGGGCATGGAAATAAAACAGCGGGCACAGATTAGGGTTCATTCATCTGAGGTCACTATTATGCCTCCCACAGGAGCCTGAAATTTCAGCTCTCATTCCATGTTTCAACACGTTTCCTGGTTGGGCCGTTCCTCCACCCCAAATGCAGCTTTAGCACAATTAGTGGTGGATAATTAGGTGGAATGTTTTAGGGCTCCCCTGTTAATGGATAGAGAGGGGCAGAAGGTGCTGCAATTATATCTAGGGCAAAGTGCTGTTATTAAATGGAGGAAAGCATCATGGATTGAAATGGATTCCAATGTTGTCTCAACACACATGAAAAAATGACTATAGTAATTTGTAGTAAATACTACAGTGTTTTTGAACCTGTACCAGGAAGTAATACAACAACTATAGTAAAAAATCAAATTAAAAAAAACTATACCGTACTAAAATTTCTACAAGTATACTGAACTATATTATACACTAGTTTATAATTTCGGTATGGTTAGTATGCTGTAACACAGCATTTATTAACAAAGAGTTGTAAAAAATGTAATACACCATAGTAAAATAGACTATACAATTGTATGGTTCACAAACACTGAAATATGCTACAACTCCAAATCAGAAAAAAAAATTGGGACAGTATAGAAAACACAAATAAAAAAGAAATAAGTTATTTCCAAATTTACTTTGACTTGTATTTCATTGCAGACACTACAACAGACATTATTTATTCTGTTCCTTATGATTTTTTATTTTTTGCAAAACATCCCAAAAAAGTTAGAACAGTAAAGCAGGTACCACTTTGTAAAGTTGCCATTCCTTTTCACAACACTTAAAAGACGTTTAGGGACTGAAGACACCAAGTGATGAAGTGTTTCAGGTGTAATTTTGACCCATTCATCCTGCAAACAAGTCTTAAGGTGGGCAATACTACGGGATCATCGTCACATTTTGCGCTCTAAAATGCACCACACATTCTCTATTGGAGACAGGTCAACACTGCAACTAGGCCAGTCAAGTACCAGTATCCTCCACAACCAGGACATTGTAATATGTGCAGAATGTGGTTTTGCATCGTCTTGTGAAATATGCATGGGCGTCCCTGCAAAAGAAGGCTGCATATTGTGCTCCAAAATCTCCATAAGTGCAAGTTCATTTTACCAAGGGCACTGACAAAACCCATGACAGACCCTGGCTTTGGGACTTGTTGCTGGTGACAGTCTGTATGATCCTTTTCATCATTGATCTGGAGCACACATCATCCATTTCTACCTAAAATACCTGAAATACTGATTCATCTGCCCTCCGTACAAGGTTCTACTGTGTAGTTCTGGACACTGTTAACATAGGGCTTCTTTTAGGCACAGTACAGTTTTAACTGGCATTTGTAGATGTAACTATGTATTGTGGTACTTGACAATGGTTTGTCAAAGTAGTCCTAAGCCCATGTGGTGATATCGCTTTTAGATGAATGACGATTCTTGATACAATGCTGGCTAAGGAATCGGAGAGATTAAGGTTGTTCAGCTTAGGCTTGTGCCCTTATTCTTTATACATTGAAACCTATTCAGATTTCCTGAATCTTTTAATGATGTTCTGCACTGTTGGAGGTGAAATATCCAAATGTCTTCCTATCTTTTTTTAGGGAAGATTTTTAAACTTTTTAACATTTTTCTCAATAATCAATAATCTCAATAATCTTTGCTTCTAAAGGACTAGACCTTTCTTGGATGCTGCTTTTGTACCAAATCATAATTACAATCACCTGTTGGCATCCCCTGTTTCGTATCACATCATTAACCAATTAACCTGATTACTAGCCCTAAACTGCTCATGTCCCAACCTTTTAGGAATGTGTTACTTGTCTGAATGACAGGAAAGGATGTATATATACAAATGAAATGAAGTTGACCAGAGAAAATATGAAATATTTTGTGATCATATTGTCTGCAATGAAATACAAGTCAATGTAAATTTTGAATCACTTCTATCTTTTTTTCTACTATCTTTTTTATTTGCAATTTCCATACTGTCACAACTTTATCAGATTTTTCTATTGTGATTTGATTTACAGACAGACAGACAGACAGACAGACAGACAGACACAGATAGATAGATAGATAGATAGATAGAAAGATAGATAGATAGATAGATAGATAGATAGATAGATAGATAGATAGATAGATAGATAGATAGATAGATAGATAGATAGATAGATAGATAGATAGATAGATAGATAGATAGATAGATAGATTGTAACTGTAACCTTGCTGACTGCCTGATTATTTCTGTCTGATCTCTCTCTTTCTCTCCCTCTCTGGTCTCATCAGCACCAGTAATTATGAGAAATGAACAAATGGACATAATACTAATAGAGTTTCATTATGTTAATATGCCGTGTGTCGCTGGGTGTATAAAAGCGAGTTTGTCCCTCATTCAGACACACACCTGCAGCAAACCTGTTATTTGAAGGTTACAGGCGGACTCTTTTTTCAGGAATCCAGGGTTCATATTCATATTTATAAACATCGACTCTTCTCATAGGGTAAGTTTTATTAATCTCATATTGAAGCACTTAGTTTTATTCAAGATTGTTTCTTTTTTTAAATATATTTTTTCAGAAGGTAAAACATCAAAGACGCAACTGATTGGAATGGCTAATAATGTCTATAATCTTTAGTTATAATATTTTACAGAGTTATGATTAAAAGTTTTTTGTTATTTAAGAGAAGAAAAAGTCAAGAAGTGCAATGTAATACTTACATTTTACACAAATGTTGTATGGAAAACATAAAACCACAATTACAGGCATGATGCTTCATGATTTATATATATATATATATATATATATATATATATATATATATATATATATATATATATATATATATATATATATATATATATATATACTCTTTAACTAAAAACTAGAAACTTTTTTTGTTTTATATTTTAAAGTTAAATACTTTTCTAAATGTGGTCTACTACATGTACAATATATATACTTTGCAATATTTTGCTTGAATTTAATTGTACTATCTTTCCATCTCTAAAGATGTTTGATGACTATTATTTTCCTAACTATTTAATATTATTCTAATTATTATATCTGTTAAATAAAACTCTTTTGTTTAAATGCACCAAAATACATTGCTTACATTCACTGAGAAATAGATAAAATTATTCATTTTCAAAATTGGGTGTACTTTGTATTTTGTATGCTAAGCACTATACATATATACAGCACATGAATGAATAAAGACTGCAAAATAACTTGATTTAGGATGCAAAGATATGCTGTTACATATTTTCTTTTTTCCCCAGATGCAGTCGAGTTGTGCTTTACTCTGTATCTCACTTTGTGTATTTACTGCACATCTCTCAAGCATCCACGGCATGACCCTCATGGTACATCTTCATTGGATATTCTGTAACTTAGCATTGTTATTTTTTTGTCTTCTATTTTAATCCCAGTACTGGGTTGCGGCTGGAAGGGCATCCGCTGCATAAAACATATAGTTGTTGGTTTATTCCGCTGTGGAAACCTCTGAAATAGAAACTAAACTGAAGGAAATTAAATTAAAGAATGAATATCTTCAGTTTTATAGATGTCTCATTTATAATTCCACAGAATCCAGAAAAAAAGGGCTGGACTCTAAACAGTGCTGGGTATCTACTAGGACCTTGTAAGTACACTGCATTCAATTATTAATCAAAGACAATAATACAGCGCAAAAGTGTTTTTTATTACATCTAATATCAGCTTACTTGTTTATTTTGCTGATTTTTATATGGCAGATGCTCATAGAAGTCTTAATGTGAGACACAGAGCTTCAGGAAAAAGAGACACGGGGAATGAGAATTCAAGCTTTCCCACGTCTTCATACAGTTAGTTCTTAAAACATTTTTAATGACGTGATTACTTATAAAGATATTATTATTATTATTATTATTATTATTATTATTATTATTATTATTATTATTATTATTATTATTATTATTATTATTATCCTTAAAGTGCCTTTTCTGAAGTCAAGAATTTTAAATCCATGCTTAATAAATATTACTTTTACTTGATAAAGCTTTTTTGGAAATAAGTCTGTTTTCTTATTTGATAGATGATTCCTATCTTCTATCAATTCTGGGTCATCTTGCATATTTGCGATTAAAAGGTAAATTATACATAAGTTTTACTGATTTGCTTCTGTTTTTCAACTGATTCTGTCAAGTGAAAATGTTATTTTTCTCTTTCAGAAAAGGGAATGACTGAAGATTTCAGTGGATCTTTTATTAATAGTGGCAATGTGAAGCAATAACAAAATTATTTTACCCCCTACCAAAAACCATTTGCATTTTATCCTATTTTTTACATATAAGTAGTTTAAAAAAACGCACAAGGTTAATGTCCTCCATCTCTCCCCTTTACTGAATCATGGTTGATGGATCATTTCTGCTTCAGAGTTCAAATAAAGCACTTCATCTGAAATGTTTTTAAAAGCCTTTTCTGTTTATTCCATATAAAAACTAAATAGTTGGAATGGATTGATGAGTCAGAGGTGAAAACCACTAATGAAACTGCTGGTTTTAGTGTTCATGATTACATTGAACAAAAATAATAACCTCTTGATTCCAATATAGGAATTTAGTCTCTGAATAATGGCTAATGCAGTGAAAGAACAATTGGTTAAAAATAATAATAAAGAAATTAACCTTTCA